TATGTTTTCATTTCTCTTGGGTAGATTCCTAAAACTGGAATTGCTGAGTCATATGGTAAGCTTATGTTTAACCTTTTAAGGAATTGCCAAACTGTTTTCCAAAGGCTACTAGATTTTTAACGAAGTAGCTTTTAGATATTTTTCTCTTCCCTCACTATTACTTGCTGCTGGCATTATCCCCTGTACCCTGTCTCCTGAATCTGATGCTGTGGGCAAGGCAACCTGATAAGTATATTAGAAATTCGTAATGCAAAGGCATTGAATGATAGTCTTGAGTGTTAGTGTAGGACGTTGTGATGTCTGGAATGTGTGTGTGCATGCTGGTTTCTAGATGCTCAGCTGTGTTCTGGACTAGAGATGTTCCAAGACGTATCTGTTACTTGGGACTCTCAGATACAGGTGAGAAAACCCCAGTGTGGTAGAGGAGATAGTCTACGTGATTATCAGCTCCACCAGGCTCTTTCCGAAGTGGAAAGGAGACAATCCCTTAAGATGCTAAGCAGTCAAAGCAGTAGGAGATGTCTGCTTCCTCAGATATTAGACCCAGATAAGTGAATTTTGTCACTGATTGTCTAATTTGCAAAGCACTTGAGACACTGAGTAGTTCAGCACTCCAAATACCAACAAATGTTATCTATAAAGAATAGTTTACACCGTTCATTCTGTAAGATTGATGCATTCATGGTACCTTTGGCATTTACAGATTACATTTTTAATTTAGCTCTCTGTGAGTTATGTATAGTTGTTTGTAATCAGGCTGAGAAATGTGTTTGAGTTGCACCCAACAGCTGCATATCAGTACTACTGTGTTCTTGTTTTCACATAGGAAGTAATTTTTCTTAACAGATCTGGAGGCATCCCAAAACTTTTCAATTATACTTTGTCATATTTCAAATGCCCCTATGCCTCAAGTCTTCTTGTTTGCTAATTTCAATGACCTACTCTGCTATATTCCTATCATTAGCCCTTCTATTTAGCTTGCTTTTTAAAAAACATTACTTTGCTAACTCATTTTGGTTATTTTCATTGTAAAACCTTAAATACCTATCTTATTATAAGCCAGTATCTTTATATTTTTGTGGTTTATTTTCCTTTTTAATTAGAATAGTCACTTATATTGTCTGGTACACTTTATGAAAATGTTGCCATTTATAAATCTGCCATTATAAATCCAATTCAGCTCTTAATTACCTGCCATGATGGAGGAGGGCAGTGACACAAGTCATAATCTCTGAAAATACAATTCGGTTTAAGAATGAAATAACAGGGTGATTTTCTTTTGAACGTCAACTTTGCCATTTTAATTACGCTTTGTTTAGACTAAATTTAGTGTAAAAATAATAGTTTGAAAACACACCAAATGATACAAAAGGAAATGTGTTAGAGGCCAAGGAATAATCACAGTGGGGTTAGTAGGAAACACAATTAATATGCCAAGCTAGTTCCTTTAGGTATTAGTTTATTTTATGCTTTAAATGTTATAATTATTTGGATATATGAAAAAAGGGGATTGGACAAAAATTCTTGAAAAGATGAAGAACTGTCACTTCTTATTTCAGCCTTTGAGCTCCCTTTTAAATGGACTGTACTGGGTATCTTCTAGAAAGGCCATTTTTAATGTTTTATGAAATCAAACATTTTTCCCACAAGGATTTAAAATAGCTGTGTTACATTTTGAGTCTGACCCCTGTGAAAAAATGATTATATATCTTTCCAAGATTTTTGAAAGCCGGCACTGACTCACATTATTTCAGGGCACAATTTGTTTTTTGGGTTCCTGTTTTACATGAGTTTTCAAAATAAATAGGTACTTGTTATTGAAATAGGAAAAAATAGCATTACTGTAAAGCTGATTACAACTGGTGCTGGAAAGAATCTTGCCATCCAATTGGAAATATTTTTCCAGTTTGTTGACCTGTTTAAAATTCCGAACAGCTAATTCTTTCCAGCTTTCAAACATCAGATTCATTCTGAGGTCAGTATGGACAATTCTAGGGAATAAAGAAATGAATAGCTTTGGTTTTGTGTTCTCCTTAATACTTGTCTTATACCCGAACGGAAGTGTTTATTGACTATTTTAAGTGCCACTATGATTACTACTTTGTAATGAATATTTGTATTACATTAAAGATAATCTGAGAAATCATAATTGTTGCTTCTCAACCCAGTCCCTACTGGGGCTCTTTTTAACCGTGTAGTATATGATAGCATTTACCTAGAGGAGTGTTTTTAAAAAGTGTGCTCTGTGGAGTCATAAGATATGAAGGTCCTGTTTTCCTTGTAATCTTTTGGCATTTGCTTATAATATTATTGATATTATCTATGTATACTATAATACTATATCCATGTATTCTTTATTTTTATTTTATTTTATTTTTGGCTGCGTTGGGTCTTCGTTGCTGTGTGCGGGCTCTTCTCTAGTTGCAGCGAGCGGGGGCTACTCTTCGTTGTAGTGCGTGGGCTTCTCATTGCGGTGGCTTCTCGTTGCGGAGCATGGGCTCTAGGCACACAGGCTTCAGTAGTTGTGGCACACAGGCTTAGTTGCTCTGCGGCATGTGGTATCTTCCCGGACCAGGGCTCAAATCCATGTCCCCTGCATTGGCAGGCGGATTCTCAACCACTGCACCACCAGGGAAGCCCCCCATGTATTCTTTAGTCATATGAATTATAATTTATTGCTGATGTCTTAGTGTTTTATCAAAAATCATGCTATTTTCTTCATTGTTGCTTGACTTTTCTGCAGTGGCAAGAAATCATCAGTTCCTTAGGTTATTCTGCTCCACTAAAGAGGCCCTCAGAAATTTATTTGAGCTCCAAGTAATTATTTAGGAAATGTTTGCTTTAAATATCTTAAGATCTGGGGGCTTCCCTGGTGGTGCAGTGGTTGAGAGTCCGCCTGCCGATGCAGGGGACACGGGTTCGTGCCCTGGTCTGGGAAGATCCCACATGCCGCAGAGCGGCTGGGCCCGTGAGCCATGGCTGCTGAGCCTGCGCGTCCGGAGCCTGTGCTCCGCAACGGGAGAGGCCACAACAGTGAGAGGCCCACGTACCGCAAAAAAACAAAAAAACAAAAAAAACCCAAAAACTTAAGATCTTTGTGCATCTGTTTCTAATTATTATTAGTGTCATCCTATTTCACTATGTCAGGAACCTTAATAGTAACTGAACAGGCCTAGGGAGGAAAAGAATTCTCCATCCAGTTATGCCATTGAGCCCTCTCTCTGCTCTGCTTTTCCTCTCTAACCTTGCTGCTGTCCCTCTGCCCCTTACCATCTGTTGTAAGCAATATTGGCACTGCCTCTTAACTTGTCTTCCTGACCAGAGTGGCCTTCTTCCAATCCAGCCTTCTTGTTTCTTAGAACTCAATTGCTGACAGTTGCTGTACATATTCAAGATCAAGTCCATACTCTTTAAGGATTGTGTGTGAGGCCTTTTATCATGATCTAGCCCTTTTTTATTTCTTTTTGATACTCAAACATAAGGAACTACTTGCAGTTTCCTGAATATAATTCAGTTCACTCCCCCTTAACATGTACTATTCCCTTTCCCCACAGAGCTTTCCTGGCTTTTCTATGCTTTGCTAATTGCTGTTTCTCTTTGATTCAGCTTTAGTATTACTTAAGTATTAATTCTTCTGTGAAGCCATTTTGCTATCCTCTTTCTCCTTGTAGCCATTTTCACTTGTGTTCCTTGTCAAATAAACTTGTTTTATATTTAGCTTAGAAAACTGTAAAAGTCTTTGTGTTTGATTTAAGCTTCTAAATATTTGTAGAAATAACGGCCATCTGTGGTTTTCTGTAACTTATAGACCCATTATGAGGGTCAAGGATGAGAGACAGAATATACAAGTGGACAATGGCCTGACAATGCAGGAAGCTAAGCTCAGTAATTTCTGTAATAATTGGCCCCAGATGGCCGGGACTTGATCAGTAACTGCCAGCTTCCCTAATTTTTGTCCTTGCTTCCAACTTAAAACCAGCTAGAACAAATCAAATCTGCACCCAGTAAATCACATAGGATGCCCTAGTCCTAGTTAACCTGCCTACAGCTTCCTCCTGCCAGTCAGGGTACACCTGAAGCCTTCCCTTATTTCCACTGTAAAGCTTTCTCATTACTCAGCCTGCCTTTGAGTCTGCCTAAACACAAGTGATGGTGGCCATCTCCCTTGCCGTAGCAAGCTCTGAATAAATAGCCTTTGCTTTTCTCCTAAGTGTAGTTTATAAAATTTATTTCATATGCTAGCTATGTTTCGTGATTTTCTACATGTTTTATAAACATAGAGGTTTATATTTCATAAAGGTGAAGACAGATTTTTGTCATAAGGATTATTTTGTTTCTTTACATTGAATGACAAGATGACACAGGATGAAAATGTGTCACTTAGTAGTAAAGAACAAAATCCTAGTCAAATTTTAATCTTACTTGAGACCTTTGTCTCCTATATAGTTATTCAAAGCTTTTTATTTGGTTTATTAAATCATAATTTTTTTAAAAAAATCAGTACATGGAAGAGATTTAAACATGAAATACAAAATAAATGCATTTAGGTTTTATTATGTTAAGAGTATTCTTTTATTCTTTTTAAAATATTAAGCATGAATGCTGAATTTTATCAAGTAATTTTTGCATCATTTATTGTTTTTTATTTAACCTATTAGTGCAGTATATTTGTATAAATATATTTCATATTATTGAGCCATGTGTATGTTCCTAGAATAAACTCTGCTTGTTTTGAATTATTTTCTTTAAATACTCTTAATCTGTTCACTAATTTTATAAAGCTCCTTTCATTTTTGTAAAGTTTCTGAAAATGACCAGAACCTATACCCTGATTTTTTACTTTTTTATATACCCTTCCTCTTATTTCTACAATTGAATGACTAATAAGGCTACTTTGAACAGTTTTGAAACTATGAAAAAGATAGCTTTTTATCTGTCTAGTGCTTTATTTTACTGAAGTTACTCTCAGTGTATTTATTGTTTGAATTTTCTGTTAACAGATATTCCCTTCAGAGAGGTAGCTCCTTCACATTTTTAACACCTGGCCCCCATTGGGACTTCACTTTGGTGAGTAGACACCTAGGTTTTTTATTTCAAGACATTAGTTAATTCCTGGGTTGTGTTTCAGTCTGGTGTACAGCTCAGTTGTCTGTACCTCTCTGAAAACCTTGAAGTACAGAGTTTCTATCACCATCTTTGGCAGCCTAATTTAATTCTTTTCTGCTAACAAACTGAAAGAAATTTTTATTTCAATTAAATATAAAATATATTTTGAAAAGTATCAGATCTATTCATCTTTAACTCTATGCAATTCTTTCTCTCATCCCTACCCGTGTTAAGATTAAGAGGCTATATTAATGAAATGTGAGGCTATTTTTATGCACACACTCTAACAGCTTTTTTCTTGGTTGAAAAATAAAAATGCTTGTAGATAATATATATAATGAATGAATCATTTCTTTTATTAGTCATCTTAGTATAGAGGGACTCCATTATTTTTAGAATGAGACTTTACAGAGGCATCTAATCTTGTGCAAAGTGACACCAGAAAATTGGGGGACTTTATAATTAAATACTCATTACTTCACAATACTCATATAAATAAAGTATGTACAAATAGAACATGATTCTTATGCTCTTCTTATTTGGGGGAAATAGCAAAAACGATTCTGCCTCTAGTTTGCCAAACTTTACCTATGTGCATGTATCGATGATGTGCCATTTCATTTGTATTCTGTTCTATTGTATTTAATTTGTTCTTCTGTTGGGGGCTCCTGTTCGAGATTTCTGTGAATAATAGCATTTACATACATTAAGTGGTCAGTAAAGCATTCATGGTAAGAGTCTCCTGATTTTAATGCAGTTCCACATTTTCCTTTCAAACTTTTTTCATCTTGGTCCCTTTCCCTTACTAGTTGAAGAACCTAAACTTAAACAGAAAAACTAGTAGAGAAATGTCTCCAAATTTGGTTTTGCAAGCCTATCAGCAAAAATATTTTGAGCATTACCCCTGATATATTTATTTATAATTTTTAGGTATGTAGCAACTTTATTAGCTAATATTTCAAAGCTCAGTACTCACTTAGGGTGAGATTAATGATAGTGGACATAAATGTATATTTCAAATAGTCGAGATAATTTCAGTTTGGGGCTGACTTCTAAAATGGATTTGATAAGATTGCCATTATCTTTAACTCACATTTTTAAATGTGGTTGATGATGAGCTCATCATCTGTGTATTAAATTTTAGTAAAGCTTATTTTTTAAGGATTAAGAAATACATAAAATTGAAGTTCTAACATTTTCCTCCTGTATTCCAGGAAAGATACCTTGCATATCGTCTGGGATACCATTTCATGCAAGGAAAGGCTCAATAGCATGAAAATGTCCATTCTTCCCAAATTAATTCATAAAGGCAATGCTGTTCTGATAGAAATCTCATTAAAATGTAATAGATCCCAATTCATGCAGAGAAATAGAAGGCCCAGGATAGGGAAAGTAGTGTACCCATCAGGGAGCATTATGACTGAGCATATAAGCTATTAAGACTCACTCCAAAGGTACAGAAACTACACAGCATTATATGGGTGCAAGTGTAGATAAATAGACCGTTGGAATGAAATAGAGAACCCAGAAACCGACTTATGAGAGCTTATTGTGTCACAGGCATTATGAAAGAATGGTGCTCTCAGCAAATGATGTTAGGGGTGGGGACAATTAGCCAAATTACCTTATACCACATACATACAAAAATAAATTCTAGATGGGTTGACTATACAAATATGAAAAATGAAACTTTAAAATAGTTAAAAGAAAATACAGTAGAATGTTTTAAAATCTGTTAAATTTCTTTATACATATGTCCACACATGTATAGATTTTATATAAATACATAAGTATGATCCTGTACATGCTTTTTTTCCCTCAGTACAATCTTCTTTTTGCTTGGCAGTTTCCTCCCCCTTTCCTCTCTTCTCCCCATGTAAGTCCTTCCATTCCCCCAGTTCCATGCTAACCCATGTCAACAACACTGTATGTATCCCTCTATATTTTGCTCATATAATTATTTACAAATACACACACTGCCTCACAGATAAGATACACATAAGCAGGATTTTTGTTTAGTTTGCTTTTCAAAATTAGGATCATATTATTCATACTTTGCTGCATCTTCTGGATATAACCTTAGAATCAATAGAGATTTCTTGAGTTCTGTCACCTCATTTTTTAGTTTTTCCCAGTTCTGATTTATATTGTTCTTTCATGTCTTGTATCATTTTCTTAATGTCTTTTTAGCTAAATTCGAAATAGTATTTTATAGGTTTGCTCTGCTTCTGTGAGCATTTCCTTTTGAGGTGACTTCATTCCCCGTAGGGATGTTATTCTGCCTCTTATTCTCTCTCTTTCTTCTTACAGTTATTTTGTGTAGAATTTGACTTGGGGAATTTTCTGTTCATTTTAATATGAATTTAGTTTTCCTGAACTTTTACAAAGAGGCTTGGTGCAGATAGTTTTTCTAACTTCATAGAGTTCCCTCTTTTGTTGTTTTCATGGGGCTTGCTTCTGAGACTTCCAGGCTCCGTATATTTCCCCCACTTCTATCTGGACTTTATCTTTCCTTTTCTCAGTTGCCCCCATCCTGCTCTATGTTGATTCTGCTCTCAACAGTTGCTCCTCAGGGTGGGGCCAGGTCCTGGAAGGGAGCCCTGGCTTGTCAGTTTTGAGAGTTCCCAAGAGCTAGGCTGTATCACAAGTAATCTGAAAAGTTATTTTGAGGTTTAAGAGAAGAAATGTTACTTAAGGATTCTTTTTCAGTATTGATTAAGGACCAGAACTTAAAGCTATATACACAGTTTTGTCACTACTGGCACCAGTAGGGCTGAATGAAGGTGATGAATGATAACTGGAAGGTACTCCCAGTACATGCATGTTCATTTTCCACCTGATAAATCCTGCTTCAGGCAATAAATCTTAATTACTTGGGTCATGAGAAAAGGATATTTTTTTCCTAGTGAAATCAATCCCCCCCATAGGATAAATAATATGTGTTCCTTTTTTAAGAAATTTATTATCTTTATATATAAAACATATTTTACTTTTTCTGTAACAAGTATAGACTTGACTTACATAAGAGTTCTGTTCTGAAAAACTTTAGATAGTAAGTTTTTTAATAGGGTGGAATCACTTCACAGCAAGGGATGATTTAGTCAGAGGGGACTTTTTGGAAAGTATATAGTATGTGCTGGCAGTAATTTATGGGCATCCCTCATAAAAATAATTTTCTTATGAATACAGCCTAAGACTTCACTTTTTAAAACTGATTTTTCTAGTTGTATGTGGTCTTTGTTTAATGGACTAACATGCATGCCTTCTATATAAGAATAAATTTTTTTCTTTTTTATAGAAAAGAAAACGAAGAGCAAAAGATGATGATGTCATAAGCCTTAGCAGCCTTGATCTGAAGGTAAGCCTTACTGCTCTGGCAAGCAAAAGCATTTAAGAGTATGCAGATAGCATTTTATTTCTGTGCTGTAAAAATAATGAATGCTGGGGTTTTTGCATTTTGCATTTATTAAGTGCAAAACTGAATAATATTGGCTGTTACAGATATCCTCCTTTTTCTGTTCTACTTCTTTGTTAAGAACAAGTAGAAAACCTCCCTCAAAATAATAGTGAACACAAACTCACATGCCTAAGGAGACCAGGCCTGTAGCCTATGCAGAGAAAGGAGTAGATGGGGGACTGTGGTGAACTAGAAGGGCACCATGCCTCTCCTCAAGAGAGGTAGCTGCTCCTGTGCTCTAGCCCCCAAATCTAAAAAACCATGCAAGCCAAACAACTTGTCTACAAGCCAGATGTAGCCCAGGGGTTTCCAGTGTGTGATCTACGATAAACTAAAACCCAGTGCAAACTTAAAAATAATTATTTTTAATAATGGTAATAATTATTTTTAATTATTTATGTAAATAATTATATTTAATAATGTATTGTAAATCAGTTATACTCAAATAAAATTTTTTGAAAAGAATAAGAAAAATGTAATAATAATTTTAAAAAACTGCCCCCCCCAAATAATCCTCTTCTGTAAAATTGTAGTTAAGTCCAAAACTCTGGCATCTTTGAAATTACTTATTTCATTTTTGTCAGTTGGCAAGTTTTACAGAACCATCTTGGTTTTAAGGAACCTTTTTAAAAAGATTGTTATGGAAGTTATACATTTTTAAAGTAAGATTTTTAAAAAATGTTTGACATCACGTTTAATGATGGCAGCTGCTGCTTTTTATTTTTATTTTCTTTTTTAAAGGGTTGGAAATTTTTTTTTTTTAAGATTTAATTTTTTATTTACTTTGGGCTGTGTTGGGTTTTCGTTGCTGCGCACAGGCTTTCTCTAGTTGCGGTGAGCGGGGGGCTACTCTTCATTGTGGTATGCAGGCTTCTCCTTGCGGTGGCTTCTCTTGCTGCGGAGCACAGGTTCTAGGCGCACAGGCTTCAGTAGTCATGGCACACGGGCTCAGTAGTTGTGGCTCGTGGGCTCTAGAGCACAGGCTCAGTAGTTGTGGCACACAGGCTTAGTTGCTCCATGGCATGTGGGATCTTCCCAGACCACGGATCGAACCTGGGTCCCCTGCATTGGCAGGCAGATTCTTATCCACTGCACCACCAGGGAAGTCCCTCCTTCTTTTTAAAGACAAGGTATTTTCTAAAAATTAAATTTTTATAGGTCTGCCCATCATTTAGATTTTAGCAGATCTGGCAATCCAGATTTTGTGGGTATGTGTACATGTCTTTATAGAAGAATTATGTGTTTTAAGTGTTAGGCTTTTTGCAAAACAATCTTAGACATTTTTAAAATCTTGTTTTCAAAGAAAGAAAAAGGTGTGAATGGCAACCCTGAGTATTTTTAGGTATACTTCAAATGAAATCATATACAGAAATAAGAGTTTGCCACAATAAAATCCATGGTCAGATCTACTTAAAGACAATCCTCCTTTTTTTCACCCCAGCTTCAGCAATAATTAATATACCATCAGATCAGTCTCATATCATCTATCCACTCACCTACCCTCCCCTGGATTATTTTGAAGCAAATCCTAGACATTGTATCATTTCATCTGTATCATCAGATTCAGTTTTCTCACTTTCCTTGATTGTCTTAAACATGTTTTGTTTTGTTTTTGTTAATTTTGTCTGTTTGAATTGTAATTCATATAAGGTCCATACAGTGAGATTGATTATATCTCTTTAGTATCTTTTAATATATAGGTTTCCTCTCTAGCTCTTTGTTTTCTTACAAATTTTTGTTGTTGTTGAGGGAACCATGTCTTTTTTCCTGGGGAGCTTTCCACAGCCTGAAAAGCTGTGACTGCATCCCCATGGTATCATTTCCTGTGTTCCTCTTTCCTCTGTATTTCTGATAAATTGGTAGTTAGATCTAGAGTGTTTGAGGCTATTATTTACTTCCCTCAGAAGGTATGTAATGTCTTTTTGTGATGTTCCCAACATTAATTATCATTGCCTAGATCCATTTATTCATTGGAGGTTGCAAAGTGGTTATATTGTGCCTTTATCAGTCCTTTGTTTATTAACTGGAATACTTCTGTAAAGAGAAAATTCCCCTCATCAGCCTTGGTTACTCAAAGGTACTGATTTATAATAAAGGTAGGACAAGTGTTTGATTCCTTTCCTTTATCAGTTTTCAAAAATAATGAGTTTTATTCATTAAAATGCTCTAAAAGTAACTAATGATTTTTCTTTTTAATATTATTATGAACTCATGGGTATGAACACATTTTTTGTGTTTTGATCCATTTTAGTTATTACTCTTACTATGCTCAAATTTTCCCATCTTCGGTCTCTGGGTGCTGCCTCAGGAGGGCGCCTATGTCCTTTTTCCCCAGCTTTATTAAAATATAATTGACATATAACATTGTATAAATTTAAGGTGTACAACGTTTTGATTCCCTGTGTCCTTTTGACATGACCCTCACCTTATATCTAGAGGCTAAATGGCCTCCTTTTCTTCCTGGATGACAGGTTATTCCAAGCCAACGTGTACATTTCTCTTTTTCCTGCTCCATACCTGGAATCAGTCATTTCTAAAAGCCCTGATTTTAGAGGCTAAAATCTGGGCATTTTGAACATTTGTTGCTACCAGTTGATCATTGTTTTTAGGCCTTTTTAATGGACAGAGCTAAAAATATATATATAATTTTTAAGATAAAATAAATTATGAGTTTATACTGATATTTTAAATTCAATGCTAAAGGATCTTTTACTTAATCTCATTAATCTTACTGTCTAGATCTCTTTCACCTGTACCGAAAATCTGGTTTCTGTGGGACACTGACATAATTACTCACTTGATTTACCCTTGGTTCAAAGACAAATCCACATTATTACAAATTACTACCACATTACTACAAATGATAAAATTACTGAAAAAATTTTAAGTTTCACATTTTTTTGTTTTTTATATATAGGTTATAGTGAGGATATATAAATTTTATGTTTTAAAATTATTGAACTAGTTCTCTTCTATGTGTAATTATGCCAACTCACTTTATTTGCAATTTTTAAGAATTACTGCTTTTTAAATTTAATTTTTCTTATAACCATGTAACAAAATTGTGTAGAATTTCAAAGTCAGTTCTACAAGATTCTTGTTTCTATCCCTGGCTCTTGTACCTTACTTCTTTCTTCTATACAAAATGTTTTTTTTTCCTTTTATTAATTTCATGGTTTATCCTTCCACTTACTAAAATTATAAGTAATTGCATATGTTTGTATATCCCACTTCCTTGGATAAACAATAGCATGTTATCTTTCCTTATGTGTTCTGTTTTATTCTCTCCTTTTTGTTTTACTTGTATGTTTTAGCTTTGTTATATCTTTCAGTGTTTAGGAAGATTCATGTATTTGTTCTATTGGTTATCTTTCTATGATGCCTTCACTTCTCTCTTTTTGTCTGTTGTAGATTTGTTCATTCCTGTGAGCATTGCTTTAATTAACTAGCACCTCTTCTCCCTCCTCTCCTCTGCTCTCCTCTGACTGAAGTAATCTCTTTATTCTAAGTTAATATATTTAAAGTAATAAGTGCTTATTTTACTTTTCATGTACACTCATCATTCTCCATTTTTATTTTTTTATTTTTATTTTTATTTTTTTTAACATCTTTATTGGGGTATAATTGCTTTACAATGGTGTGTTAGTTTCTGCTTTATAACAGAGTGAATCAGTTATACATATACATATGTTCCCATATCTCTTCCCTCTTCGTCTCTCTCCCTCCCACCCTCCCTATCCCACCCCTCCAGGCGGTCACAGAGCACAGAGCCAGTATCCCTGTGCCATGCAGCTGCTTCCCACTGGCTATCTACCTTACGTTTGTTAGTATATATATGTCCATGTCTCTCTCTCGCCCTATCACAGCTCACCCTTCCCCCTCCATTTTTAAAGAAATAGTTTTGCTATTTTATCTCCAGGGTCAGCACATTCAGCCATTGTAAACTATGCTGTGTACCCTGATAACCACCATTTAGACTTAGTTCTACAGGTAAGTATATATTTAATGATCAGCAGGAGTCCTTATATCTATACCTTTTTAGGTTTTTGGTTTTCTGAAGCTCATTCTTTAGCACAAGGGTCAGCAAACTGTGGCCCACAAGCCATATCTGACCTGCCCATTTATTTACATATTGTTTTTGGCTGCTTTTAAAAACACTACAGTGGCAGAAGTTGAATAGTTGTGACAGAGACCATGTGATCTGCAAAGGCTAAAATATTTACTGTTTTTTTTTTACAGAAAAAGTTTGCTGACCCCTGCTCTAGAGTTGAGTAAATTCAGAGGAAGTGTTCATGGGAGCAGTATTCCCTGAGTTATTGAATGTTCATATCAATTTGTTTGCAGCCTTTATACTTGAAGGTTAGTTTGGATGAATATGAAATCTAAGGCTCATATTTTCTTTCCTTGAATATATTAAATATTTTACTCCATTGTTTTCTGGTATAAAGTGCCACTGTTGAAAAGTTATAATAAGTGTATAGTTTCAAGTCATCTTTTGTTTTAGGAGAATTTTTTCTTGAATTATAGTTTTTGGTATTTTTTCTATTGTTTTTGCCTCTCCTCCCTGCCCTTTATATTTAGGTTGGGTCTTCTTTTTATCACTTTCTTTCGCAACATTTTTTTGTCTTTTTTATTTTTAAATTCATCTTCCTTTTTTACCTTCTTTTTCTCTCAATGCATTAGTCATTGTTTTTTTTCATTCTGAAATAATTTTATTTTTAATTCTTTCCTTCTATCACCTCATTTCAAATCCTCCTTCCTCCACTTGCCTAATTTCTGAACTTTATGTTCTTTCATAACTTCTATAATTTTCATTTATTTTAGGCTATAAAGACATTATTCTACTCCACATTTTGTTTTCTTATAGTAGTTTTAAATGGGTTTCATGATTCTTTTATGAA